TACATTAATTTATAATTAAAAAATATATTATCTTAAAAGACAAAATTTATTAATTAGACAAAATAATTAATTTTTTATTTGTTAATTAGACAAAATGATTCATTTTTTATTCGTCATCCGCTATCTGCTAACTGCCACTCACTATTCGTTACCCGTTACTGTTATTCGCTATCCACTATCCGTTACTTACTATCCATTATTCATTAAATTTTAACTGTTGTATCAAACAAGCTGTAAATATATATACATATATATAAAGAAATCAGCAAATATTATGTTCAATTTTTTTCCTCCGCTTTATTTCCTCTATTTTTTTAATGCAATTTTGATTCGCCCGAACTGTTTGTAACCGTCAAGCGTGCATGTGTTACTTCGCTTTCTGCCTTTTATATATATCGCCTCTTTTACTCAATTACCCCTCCCTCTCTATTATTTTTCCATCTTACTACCGTTTTCTCTCCTCCACCCCCTCCGTTCCTCTACTCCCTTTGGCCTTTCGTTCATGGCAACGTCAAATCGGCGCACTGGAAAGCGGGCCAGCAACCGGAGCGTTGTCGTGCGGTCGCTGTGATGGCACGACGATGCTAAGAAATTTGGATAACGTAGCAGTGAGAGTGCTCCTCTGTTTCCTTGACGTTTTCCAGCCTCGATCCGGCGACATGTGGACGTTGGATCGACGCCCCGGCATCCGATCAGTGCTTCGGTGATGGACAGATCTGGAACTGTGGAGCGAAGCGAAACCCTACGGTTTCCTAGCGCACATCGGTTTCCCAACACTCTGTTTCCTTGAGGTTTTTCAGGCTCGATCCGGCGATATGTGGGCCTTGGATTGACGCTCCGGGATCCGATGCGCGTCGGTGGTGGACAGATCTGGAACTGTTGAGCGAATTGAAACCCTACCGTTTCGTAGTGCACATCGGTTTCCGAACCCACTGCGCCTACCTCAGATCCGTCATTGGAGTCGGGAATAATCACTGATTTCGCTCTTGGAATCTTGTACTCTTCGATCTCGCGCTTCTCGCACCTTCCTCGGGTAACAATAACTTTTTCCTTAATTTTCAATTATTTATATGACTGATTTCTCGACTATTGAGTTGAATTTCTCTGAAACAAAAACTTCTGTATGTGTATCTTCTCTCCGTTTGTTGTCGAGAAACCTGTGGACGGAGTTTGTACGATTTTTAGGTTTTTAATTCTGACTTTTGAACGATGATATTTGTTGCTGTTAGTGGATATACGTTAATGTACGTTTTCTTTTATGATTCTTGTGGTTTTGATTTGATAATAGTTTATTGTGTAATTTTATGTTTCCTTCAAGGTTTATTCTATCCAATTCCTTTTCTAAGGGGTTCTAGATAAGAGAAGAGGAATCTAATGTATTTGTTAGAGAATCAGAAATATTTATTATGATCACTGCTCCTTTTACTTCTTCAAAGAGTATGTTTAAAGCATTATATGCTCAACTGAAAATTGGTTTCCTGTTCTTGTTCGTTTTGATAATGCGGTGTTGAAGTCAAAGGCAATTTAATTTTTCCTTTCTATTCAAGACTGACAAGTCTTGCAGAGTTGGCTCTTTGTAAGTTACTTTGGAGTTTGGAGTCACCTGATTTTATTTCAATTGCAAATCAATAGAATGACCTGAGGTCACTTTCCTGATAAATGCATTAACTTATTAATGGATAAGATTTTTCATGCCCTTCTCATTTTATTGCATAAAATGCTTAAGCCTTGTTGTCACATGTTTTCTTGCTTAGGTTCGGCCATTTCAGTTGTGGAGTAGAGGACTTTTCAGGGGATGTCTGTTGCCTCTAGCACTACAATTGCCTAGTTTTCTTTAATAGATTGCATATAATGCTCATCATTGGCATCTGTCTACTTACTCATACATGACTTGTGATGGACTATACCTATTAGTTTTAGTTGGATTCTAGAATATGAATATCAAGTCAAACTTTCAAGTTGAGTGGTCTTTTGTTAGGATATATTAGTTATTAGAACATGCTCGATACCATTTTTGCATCCTTTGATAATTTCTCTGCTGTTCCTCTTGGAAACATATGCAATAGTAGCCCAAAACAAGAAGTTGTGAACTGGTTGCTCTAATGGTCTTCTGGATTTGTATGTGTGGTTATCTGCCCTTTTTAGAGAAGCTGTTTATGAAGTCAGATGCTCAAAGTTTGATTCCAGTAGAGAATGCATTTTCTTGCCTGGAAGTGCTATCATGTTTCATTTTAGTATTAAGGTTACCAATTCCCAAGCAAACCTAACTCTGGCATACTTCTTTTTGCAGCACACAATTTTCCAACTTTGATGGAGGGTCATGTATTCAATCATATTTCAAGCATTCTTACCACGGCTAGGGGTTATTCAAGAATATCAACAAGGTACTAATCGGGTTTAGGCTTTGTCATTTCATGCAAGATCCATGCAGTGCTATTCTTTGTGAATAAGTTAGGCTTCCAGACTCACTAATTTTCTCACTGGTTGACAGGTATGTGTATTTCATTTTTTTGTTGAAAATTCTGTCTAAAGAATTCTTCTTTGTGTTATAATAGTTCAAGGCTTCACTTTCACTATCCATGTCTGGATGTTATTTTCTTGTTTAAGAGTAATATAGCGTCTAGATGGCTATTTTCTTGGTGTAGAGTAAAATATTGTTAATCTATTTTCCTGTTTTAGGGTAAAATGGTATCAGTTATTTTCTAGTTTAAAAGTAAAAAGAAAGTAGTATCACTTGAATTTGTTTTCTCCTTTCAAATCCCCATCACCACTATCATAAGAGCTAGGTCTTCCCCTTTCTCATTCCCTTTAAATTTTTTTAAATGCCTCTAAACAATAGCATGTGGCAATGGTGATTGGGGACTCATAGTGACTATAGCCAACAGTAATATTAGTAATCACCTATTGCTCCTACAAGTTTGGTAGTGTTAGAGTGGATCTGGAGGCTTATTGATATGGTACATACTTTCTTGTAGTAATGCTGAATTACAACCATTTTCTCTTTAGGTCCTTCAGGATGTAGCTTGACACTGTTAATATTATATGTTTTTTTACCTCTCATTAAACTTGCAATTTGAAATGATTGGGGTTTAGAGAACTGGTGTTGATTCCTGTAGTGTCTTTTGCTCCATTGAAACCACTAGACATGCGAATTTCTAAAGCATTCTGTCTCTCTCCTTCGAAATCATTTTGGTTTTTATTTAGTATCCCCAGTTATTAATACATAGATAAAGAAAGATTTACAAAAACCAATTGCATCTAGAATTGCATATATTGGCACCGACTTACAAATACATCGACCTTCTAACCCTTTTTTGATTGACCTTTCTGCGGCTTGACCCATTTATAATTCCATTCTTTTCTCTGACATCAAGTTTAGTACTTTTGAACTAAGTTTTATAGTTGGGAAGTTAGTGTGGTCTCTAATTTCCTTGTAATTCTGTGCTAGTAAAGAATCTTATTGTGACAGGTGCAAGTGCAGCCCACATATTTTAATGTTTATTGATCTCATTTCCCCCTTTATCCATATCAGGAGGTCAGCGGAATTGAGTAGTGGGTATTTAAACTTTCTGTGTCTCTCTTTGTTTTGTTCATGTTGTGTAGCGTGTTAGTTTTTGGCGCTCTTCTCATTTCTGATATAACCAAAAATTTTTAAAAGATAAAAAGCAAGCTCAAAACTGAGAATTGCCAATTGCTTCTTAAAACAATTAAAAAAAAAATTGTTAATTACTCTGTGCTTCGATGAGCATTGCTCTTATATTTTTATAAGCCAAGAAAAAGGAATGAGCGGTGTTTTTAGATCTAGTTGGTTCCACTGAGGCCCAATTCGGCTAGAAAATTTAAAAACAGTAAAACTGGATTAAAGCCTAACGTGGTGATGCTTATTCGATCTGGCGAAATTTACAGAGATAAATTCTCGATCAATCCGTTAAAAAGGTTGGTTAAAACGTAGACAGAAACGATTCGTAAGGCCCAATAATCGGACTTATGTGCGAGGGAGGCCCAATTCATATAAGCCATGATTTCCCCGAGGGGGGATACATTTACGTGGGTTATACTGATAATAATAAGCATTTAGGCCCATTAATCTAATACGGGCCTTTGAACATGGTCCGAAATGGAAGACTTATGGGCCCGAAGGTCCAATTAATGGAATTATGTTCCACTCTTGACCCGAATCAAACACATCACTGGGCTGAACTTCGTAATATTTATGGGCCATAAATGGGCCCAAAGGCCCAATTTCCTGTATAACAAACCCAATAATTTCCGCTACTGGGCCTGAAGACCCATTTCTGCCCCAATTAGTTGAATGTTTGGGCCATTCAGGCCCAATTACCAGTAAAACGGACCCAATAATTTATGTTACTGGGCCAAACAGGCCCGTATCATGGGCTGAAGGCCCATTTCTTGCCCAATAGCCAAAATGTTCCAATTATTAGCCCGTTGATGGCCCAATTAGTTGAACGTTTGCAACCTGAGTGGCCCCCAAAACAGGCCCAATGGCCCAATTACCCTCAAACGGATCCATTAATTTCGGTTACTGGGCCAAACAGGCCAACTCATTGGCCTAGACCCCTTTCTAGCCCCCATTAACGGCATCGTTCGGCCCAATGTCCTTCTAGGCCCAGTATTGTGAGCTCCAATCAGCCCCAAACAATCCTTATTGGGCTTAAGAAAATTACGAGCCTTTGATGAAAATAGGCCAACACGTAAAAAGTACTTCGATCAACTTGCTAACTTATGGGCCCTTTAAGCCCAATCAAGGGAACTACAGATCAGGAATACAGAACACATGAACAAGTTTACAATCAAATTAAGCCCATAACGTGAACATCTCCTTCCTCCTAACCGACATAACTAGCCCAATTCAGGTCTGCAAAAATACATGACAAATACTGATACACCCTTAATGAATCTCTTCCATAGGATGATTCATTAAAGGCAGATTGATAATTTTCATTGTCCAGACTGCATTTCTATTGTGCAGTCCAGCCAGCAAAAGCCGGACTCTTTTCCTTTCTACTCAGTGTGTGCGCAAACCTGTGAACGAAACTGAAATAATGATATTCTTAAATAAACATCCCAATACAATTGATAGCATAACCGGCCATCCCCGCCTCCACCTACCTCATCCAACCTGGTAGTCCCTTGCACGCCTTCCATAGATCATTTCTACTAATGAACCTGTAACCAAAGACAAGAACGTCACACAACTTGGAACCAAGTCCTAATAATCACCGACTTGCAGGCAACTAAAGCATGCTAGTCTGGGAGATTATGATAACAAAGGATTCTGAATGTTTAATAGTATTTTTGGTTTGAAAAAAATGGAGGGGAAGGGAGGTGAATGGAAGGATGGAAAAAGGTCATATCCTTCCATTTCCCTCCCCCCCCCTCCCCTCATTTGGATAAGTATAAAAAATTTTTTAAAAAAAAGGTAAATGACTCCCCTCCCCTCAAACCAAACATATTATATATGAAAACTACAAGAAACATACAACAAAGAAATCCCACTTTCGATTAGCAAATACTATATATAAAATAGACTTGTCCATAACTTTGATCTCAAGGAAGAAAACAAGCACATTGGTATAACATTAAGATGAAAGATTTTCGAATATACATAACCAAAGGAGTTTTCATTGAAAAAAAAATTACCATTGTTGTATGCTTAAACAATTAACAGTAGACCATCAAAACATTTGCAACTCAAAAGAGGATAGGTTTTTAACTACAACTACTTTGAAATTCCATTAATTAAATTTACAGTTTATTCTTTTGGATTTAAGCTGTCATCTGTTCTAAAAAAAGTTAACATATCAACCTATTCTATATAAATAAGTACACCATTTCCTATAATTATAATTGATTGTTTTAAAGAGGTATTTCTAACGTGGATAATCTCCCCTTCC